CTTATAAATGCATTTATATATAAATTTTCAATCTAGTCATGACTATAAGATATATTGCTTTCCTTAGTAAAATTTCACTTTAGATTTTAGTACCAAAAATGATTCATTCAGATTATTAAAAATTTTAGAGTATACATCAATAATATTTCAACAAATGAGAATTACTTGTCATACACTGTAAGTTCTTTGAAATAAAGCCACCTAATTTACTTATTTGGAACCCTGGTGGTGCAGTGGTTAACAGCTTGGCTGCTAACCAAAAGGTCGGCAGTTCAAATCCACCAGCCTTTCCTTGGAAACCCTATGGGGCAGTTCTGCTCTGTCCTTTAGGGTCGTTACAAGTAGGAATCAACTCGACAGCAATGGGTTTTTGTTTTGTTTTTTTTAATTTACTTATTTAAGAGTTATATTCCAATAACTAGAGTACATTTATATTTGCACACTTCTTGTAATCAACAATTTATAGTTTCCATCTCTTTTCTGGAAATGTTTTCCAAATAGATTTATATTAATATATACAACAAACGATTCTAAAAGCAGACACGTATTTTAATCACCCATGTAAAGTGCCTAATGTGGTCACTTAGGAAAAGTTCGACCTTAATAAATTATATTTCTGTTCTACCACCACCTTTTTAAACCTATTGGTTAAAACCAGCATCTGGTAAACTATTTGATGGTCTGGATCTCCAAAAAAAGAACAGAGGCAAATTTTATTTAAGGAGGTGACTCTGGGTTAATTCCCTAGGAGTGGCAAGCATATTTATGAAGATAAGTGTTTATCTTAATAGAAAGCTATTCTTACAGTTCTCGTCCATTTCCAGACATCTTGAATCCCCCAAAGGGGCAGTGGGCAGACACCACACTATAGCAATTCACCCTGAAAAGAAATGAGGTCCATTATAGCAAATACTCAACATATGAAATAACTCCCAATTTTGGAATTTTAGAAATTCATAGAGCATCTTAAGAACTCCATTAATTTCAATATACCATATTCAGTACAATAAGAAAGCATCACTGTAAATTAGAATGCAGAAGTGTAGGTATGTATATATATGCTACCTAGAAACAAACAGACTGGTGTACCTATAAGTGTAGATACCCATTCTTGTAGTACTTCATGTCCCTGAGAAGCGGCAGTTTGGATTATAAGAGAAAGAATAGCCAATATGCCATAAGAGGAAGGATACAGTCCCCTAGAGACTTGAGGCTGTTGGGTAGGTGTTCTTTATTCTCTACATTCAATAAGCTTTGTAATTCTCTTGAGGTTTGGGTATTTAACATGCTAGAATCAATTTTCTTTTGCAATTGCAATATGTATTATACTACTCAGTTCATTTTTTCATTATTTGGTTCAGTAAATTGCTTAAATGCAGGCCTTGGAGGGAATTGAATTTGATTACAAGTTTCTTTATGCCCTGACATACTTCAAAAAGTGTCTAAAGATGTTTGTTTGAGTACATATAATTACAAGCACTTAAATAATTTGAATTAAAGAAAAAAATTACGATAGAAGATCAATACTAGAGGGGAAGTTCGAACGCAGTTAGGAGGGCCACGAACAGTTTCTTGAGTTTTAAATTTCCTGGTGGCCTACGTGAACAGTAACATCTAATTAACAACATGTTTCTCCCTGTAGAGAAGAGGAAAAATATGTTTAAAGGAGAAGAATGTTATCTTTTTATACTTTTTCCTCCTTTCATGCTGTTATACTAGGTAGATGACTGTGTGACTTCCAGATCAATTGCATTATGCTTAGAAGAGTTTGTTCATTACTTTAGCCCTAAGCTAATATTCCAGTGTTTCTCAGTTAAAACATTTACTCTCCGAATTCCTGGAGTACATCTTATCCATGTCTCTCCACTAGGAAGATAGTCACTTAAATAAATGTACATTTAAAAAAAGACAGTTTACTATGATTGGTCTGTACTCATCTGCAGCAAAAAAGAAAGAAGGAAACCAAAGACTCAAAGAAGAAACTATCTACAGGACTAACAGCCCACAGAAACCACAGTCTCATCTCTCCTAAGACCAGAAGAACTAGATGGTACCCGGCTACCACTACTGACCATTCTGAAACCATTCTGACCAGGGATACAATAGGTCACAGATAGGAGAAAATGTGGAACAAAACTCAGATTCCTAAGAAAGCCAAGACGTAGTGGACCAGTAGAAACTAGAGGAGTCTCCAAGACTATCACCCTGAGACACGCTTTAAACTTGGAACTGGAAGAACCACTTCCTGGAGGTCGGCTTTCAGCCAAATAAGAGATTGCCTCATAAAATAAACAATATCACTCGTGAGTACTGTGCTTCTTTAATTAATCATCTATATGAGACCAAATGGTCAACAATGACCCTAAAGAAAACATGAGAAGGTAAGACGGGGCGGGGCAGCGAAGCTAGATTAATGGAAACAGAATAACCAGAATGGTAATAATGAGAATGCTGACACGTTGTGAAAAATGTAACCAATGTCATCAAACAATAAGTATAGAAATTGTTAAATGGGAACCTAATTTGCTGTGTAAACTTTCAACAAAAACACAGTAAAGTATTATAAAAAAAAAAAAGACAGGTTATGTGAGCTTTGTTTAATTGTTCTGTGAGCTGCAAAATAAGATCTTTACTTTTGAAATTACTGGGTAAAATCTTAGCCACTCTGGAATTACATGGTTGTCTTGAAAACACCAAGGAGCTATCCTATTCTGGGACAATTCCAGAATGTAATTGTTCCAGGACATAACACAATGAGAATATGGTACCCTCCATTTTGACAGTATAGACATTTCTGACGGGAATCCCAAGACACTCAGTGGAATGATGTTGTGAGATATTTCTCTTTGTTAAAAAGCACAAAAAATGAGTTTGCTCTTTTTACTCTACAAATGGAAATGAAACCACTTCAGTATAAGTAAACAGAGAACTGAGAAATATCCAGTTAGAGAAAACCGTAAGTTCAAAATGATCAGCCTTGTTGATCGCCTCTTCTGTGATCCTTCTTCCTTGTGGTAAAGAATGGAGGTCCTATAAATGCAAACTTTGGATCCACCCCTTAGTAGCTGTGTGATCTTGGGAAAGCTACCTAACCTCTCTAAGCATGTGTTCCCTCCTCTGCAAAATGGAGACATTACTCAGTAGGGTTGTTTTAAAGCATAAGCAAGAAAATGTATAAAATGTGTTTGTCACTGTGCTTGGTACATGGTAAGGCTTCAGTAAGTGGAGAAAACATACATATATACAATAGCGGTGCTGAATTTTATTAATGATTTTTTCATATAGGATAACTCCACATTAATCACTAGCCATACTGATTATCTAAGAATTTGCTTGTTTTTATTCAAGAGTCCCTGAAAGAAAACATCTTCTTGTAGAAAGAACCAGGAACCAGTAGAATCATCGATTTTAAAAATAGGTAAACTGATTTGGGGCTAAGGAGGGGAAGTGCATAAGACACAGCAATTATATCTACCTCTATGGTTGAGGCTGGGCATGGGTCTTTTATTTAAAAAGTATATTTAGAAGCTCCCAGGTGATTGCAATGTGCACCCAGGATTGAGAACCACTGCTTTAGAGTCTGACATAGTTCTGAGTCTGCTCTGTCATTTACCGTGTGATCTTGATAAACTACTTAACCTCAATAAACTTCAGTTTCTTGTCTATAAATTTGAGACATGTTGAGATCATATGCTACCTTACAATAACTGTTAAGTTGTAAGAGAAAATGAACTAATGAATGTAAAGAATACAGAATCCAGTGCCTAGTACAGAGTCAATATTAACTAAGCATTGTTTCTCTTCCTTTGGCTAGGAAAATCTCATCAATAAAATATTTTGGGCAAGCAATTTCAGGAAGCTGGATATGAGGGTTTTTTTTTTAGGCAGCAATTGCTTTTCCAGCAGGTCACATGATTCCAAATGAAAAATCCAGCTCCGAAGAGGCTCAGGGTAACCTGTCAATGTGGTTACCAGTGAGAAGGCTGTGTTACTTAGGGTTCACTTACCACACTGTCCCAGCCTGCAGTGCAGAGGAGACGGTTATAGCTTTATCAAGGTCCTTGGTAAAGATTCCTGCAGATAAGCCATAGTGTGTGTTGTTTGCTCTCTTGATCACATCATCTAAAGATTTAAACTTCATGATTTGCTGAACTGGTCCAAATATCTACACCACAGAAAATGAATGAAATGAATCAAATAATAGGTTAAGACTAAATATTTTAAATTATATCGTGGAGTTACTTCCCCTACAAGCTATCCTAAATTGATCAAGAGTTTCCTACTTATTTCAAGTCTATGTGTAACAATCAAAATAGGTAAATGCCAGATTGCTAAGTAAAGACAGGTGATAGTCATGTGTTACATCCTCTTTGGAACAGGGTAGGGGATAAATAAAAATGGCAATATTCATTTTCTAGATGTTGGCATTAAGGCTTCCAAGATCTTATGGTGGTACATTAAATTATTAACTTCAGAATTTCTTTCCCATTTAGGAACATTTTTAATCCTCTCCTAAGTTTTCCTCATCTTCCAAATTACTACACAAATAGCAAGCCAGAGAGCAGTGCTTGTTCTACTGGGTAAATGATTATATATTAATAACTGTGTTTTAAATATCAGTGTACCAATGATTGATACATCAGCTACTCTGTTGGACTTAGATCTCTTCATAATTAGCTAGGTGCAGAGAAACCAGAGTGTTGAGGGGAACAAGTTAGTGAAACAACATGAATTTTTGCTCTGATACTATTCTGTAGCTAAATCTTGTGCAACTCTCACATACCAAAGGGAATGGCTCATTACTACAAGGTCTTAAATCTCCAATCACCCTGTACTAACCAAAGCATGAGTTCACTGGCAATGACTATAGTCACAGAACAGAAAACAAAAATCACAGTTGGCTTATTCCAGCTTAAACCACTCTTTCACTTTCACCAGATGCTTGAGTTAGCACAGCCCAACTCAGTCCCAAGTGGGAGACAAAGAACTGGATTTTCCTTTAAAAATTAAACTCCTATATTAAATTTCTCTAAACCAATTATTAAAATTTAAAACAAAGAGGGCTTGTCTGAGTATTACTGACTGAGCAGGATCTTCTGGGAAATGTGAATGAGGGGAGGCAAAAACCAGAAAAGAGAAATGTTTTTTTGGTGTTGCCACTGATTGAAGAGTCATAGGGGTTGGGCTGCCATTCAATGGAGCTGAGCACAAATCCAAAAGTTGTAAATCTAATCATTATATTACAACCTGAGAACCAAATATATAGCTGCTACTGCAATGAGTATCTTAACAGCTTACATAATTTGAAATGAATGCATCACATGGCACCAGGCTACTACTTTGAAGTAGCAATCAAGCTGTTCTACTATGTATATTTTAGGAATACAATGGATGTTTCCTTCACTGAAGATTTTTCCTTTAGATCTTTCTGACATTAATCAAAGACATACAACATCAGAACTAATCACACAAGTATTTGCCAATAAATGCAAAAATTTCAGGACTGAATTGACATTGAGGAACTAAGTATGCTTGATTATCCATATGCATTTTCTTTTACTTTTGTTTTTCCTCTGTTTGCAAATCTGATTCTGCACTTCTTCTCTCATATGACGGAAATGTTGGGGGCGAGGAAAATAACCCTCCCAGATCCTCTGCCATATCGTAGATGCTAAACACAAGTTTAATGAACGAAAGGATTATGATTCAATATATTTGAGTTGTCATTGCTTTCTTACCATGACACCTTCATGGCCTAAAGCCACTGAATTAATCCATGCATTTATTAAAACCCCCCAGTGCCCATGGGGTAGATTATTTACAATGTCTAAATGCAAACTATCTTTCCCTAGTTATTTATCTTATCTCTGGATCATTTCTTTTTTAATGTTAGTTTGTGATTACCCAATATTTAACTACAATCTATTTGCCTAGGAAAACTAGGAAGCACGAGAGCTAAAAAGTATGCGGTCAAGAGTACATGGAAGGTGGAGAGTGACAAAGGGGATGAATATTATTTTCAAATATATGTATGGCTGTTGTGAGGAAAAAGGGCAGAGGGTAAATATGGGAGCAGCAGGTAGAATGTAACAGGAGAGAATCTAGCCAGCCAGAGACAGACCTTTCTAATGATCAGTACTGTCCGAACGTGGAAAGTTCTCAAGAAATAGGGAGCTACTTATTGCTGATGTTTAAAGAGACCAGCTGGCCATTGCCTGGGGCTGTAGAGGAGAGAACAGTGTGGTGGAGATTACAGGAGACCTTTCTATGTTACTCACAGCTTGTGAACCTACAATTATCATACCACAAAAAACCCACCTGTAACTGCATATCACTTTTTCCTTTTCAAATTATTTTCAAATATATTATCTCAAAAGAAGATAAAGAAAAACCATGAAGATGGAATTTTCTTTTTCACTACATTAATGCTATGAAGGAAGCACCTAGAAATTGTTACCCCTCCTGATCTGTCTTTGGCTGGAAATTCTTGGACAGCTAAATGGAATCTTTGCTATTTTTAGTCTTGATCCCAAATACCTTAAACCTTTATCAATAGCAGAAATGAAGAGCAACATTTGCTGAAAAGATATTCAAAGAGCTGAGAATTTCAAATGGACACTTTGTATACACACACGCAGACAAAACATCACAACAAAGGGAACAGAACAGAATGGAACCATTTACCTCTTCTTTGGCAATGCGCATCTCATCTGTAACATTCGAGAAAACTGTGGGCTGGATAAAGTAGCCTTTATTCCCCCACGGGCCTCCTCCACATTCCAGTTTGGCCCCTTCTTTCTTCCCACTCTCGATGAGGTCAAGTATTTTATCATATTGCTCCTTGTCAATCTATTTGAAAAACATCACCAGAAAAAAGGGAGGGGAGGGGATTAGCAATTTGTGACGATAACACATTGTCTGGCCTGTTAATGTGGGATTCAAAAATGCTAAAATATTGTTATCATATCAAAGATTGAATTAAAAACAGCTGACAGAGGCTGTGATTCATTCTTTGGATGTATTTTAGTCTTATGACTTGCCTGGAAAGAAATCTTAAAGATATTTGTGTCTAGCATTTGTTTACAGTTACGTAAGAAAAGCAAATAGGAGTGAAAACATAAACCTTTTCATACAACTCTGTCTAGAATAAAAGTCTGTTAATAATTCAACACATTTACCTGGACACTGTAGTCCTAACTCAAATGAAAGGAGTAAAAGAAGAAAAAGGAAACCTCAGTACTGGGTCTAATTAGATATAGCAGTTGGAAATCAAATCCTTCTGGACTTTAAGAAGACTCTTATCCTTCTGTTTGGCTATATTCCTGAGCCATGCCCTCTGGCCGGGTCCATGCCCTTCAACACTGCGTTTTGACTGCAGCCTGCCTATCCTCCCCAGTTCAGGTTCCCCTGGCACAATTAAGAGATATGTTTCCAGTTTCTGGCCTGAACTGATTGTCACCATCTTACTGCTTTAAATCTAAATATATGGCAAGTATTACAGCACTTAAATGGTTTGTTAAACAATGTTTTTATGAGGGAAAAAAAAAATGAGTCCAGAGTTTCAGCTGGGAAAGCTAGGTACACATGCCTCTCTCCCCATGCACTGGAATTGGAGGCCACTCATTGCCTCAAAGGAGTCCTGGTGGTGCAATGGTTAAAACACTTGGCTGCTAACTGAAAGATCTAACCCTCCAGTGGCTCTGCGGAAGAAAAGACGTGGTGATCTGCTCCTTACTGACTTTGAAATCTTTATTAGATTTCAGCCCTGAAATGGGGGTAGTTTTAACCTGTTCTATAGGGTCAGTACGAGTCAGAATTGACTCTAAACCTCATTGCCTTCCAGTCAATTCCGAGTCATAGGGACCCTACAGGACAGAGTAGAATCACTCCATACGGTTTCCAGAGCAACTGGTGGATCTGAACTGCCCACCTTTCAGTAAGCAGTCACAGCTCTTAATCACGGCACCGCCAGGGCTCCTGGAATTAACTCTAGGGCACATAAAAACAACAACGCCGACCACCATTGCCTCATTTCTTACTTTGGGAGATTGACAGATTGTGTGACTCCCTGACTCCAAATCCCTGGTGAAAGCTGCCTTTTTGTCTCAGGTGTGGTGGGGTTAAGGATTAAAGACAAGGAGATCCAGGAGGTAAAGGTGGGGGACTCTTGCCAGTTTACTCCCGTCTCGTGACTTAAACAGGTGTTTTTCTTTATCATCTTCATTGTCTCCTGCACATCTCCCCCATTTTCCAAGGCCCAGAGGAAGGTACCATAAAGTTATGCTGACTGCACACACCCAGATCCCATATTCCAACTTTATTAAGCGCTGTTTGAAACCAGAAAACACTTACTATAATTCGGCATGATACTTGGCTCCTTCTGAAAAATCAGCCATTGAAAACCCTATAGAGCAGTCTGTTCTACTCTGACACACATTGGGTTACTATGGGTCAGGAATGACTTGAAGGCAAATGGTTTTAATTTAATGAGAAGTTATATTTAAACTATTACATAATTCTTCATACAATCAGAATAAGAGGATGGTGTTAGGTACTCTCTGCCCAGTTAAGATATTTTAGTTTGTCAGTAAATAGTCAAGGACCCACGTGAAGCTTCTCTGGTCTATTTTAAGACAGTAATCTCACTATGTCCTCGAAATCATGATTTTGGGTTTTTGTTTAATATGTGTTTCCCAAGTCATAAATTTTCTCTGCATGTGACCGGATACCTGGTGACATACATATACATACAGGCATACAAACATATGTATGTGTGTGTGTATATATATATATGTGTGTGTATACATATATACCGTATATATACACATATACATAAATTTGCATTATTCTAATCCCCAAATACCTTAAGATTGTGAACTTCAAAATAAAAACCAAACTAACTTCTTTAAATTTTTCTTTCACAAATATCTTTGGTGATTATTTTCTCTGTAACTGTTTTGTTACAATGAGGAAGATTTTAATTATATTTAAAAAGCCCCAGTTCACTCCTCTACCAGTGGGTGAAGCAATAGGCTGAAGCTCAGTGAACGGAGACTCTTTTCCACAAGCTTTCTCCTAACAACAGATGGATATTTGTAAGACTAAAGAAGCCCTGGGGACTTATCGGTTTTTTAGTTCTCAAAGTCCTAACATACCTAGATATTCAGTGCAACCCATAATAAAAATCTATTAATTTATGAAGGTTAAAGTCTTATATTAAGCAGTTAGATCACTGGATTATGTACTTAAGAATCCTATGAATTAGAATTTTTCAAAAGTGTAATTTAACTCTTCCCTTAGGAGTAATGAGGTATTCTAGCTCAACTTTTGAGCTTCTGGTTGAATTGTGCAGATGCTCTATAGGAGGAAAGTATTGCCTACCCAGTGTTCATTGAACACTGGGTAGGCAATACTTTAGATGTTCCCTTCCCTCCTCTTCTCTCCCCTCCCTCATGTATATTTCTCTTTCAATCTATTGGCTTTGCTTAACATTCCCTGGGGGACCAAGTGACCCTAAATTGAGAACCACTGCTAGAGCAGGGACTCCAAAGGGCAGGAGAAAATTCAGAACCAAAGGTCCAGGAGCTTGAATAACAGACAATAAACAGAGAGCCATGCAAGGAAGAAGGAAAAGTGATTGTTAGATAAGAAGGAGACATCCTTACGGATACTAGCATACATAAGAAAACTAGCAGCCCTAGAGGAATAATTGGGCTTTAACAACTACAATGAGAAATTTGCCTCAAACCCAGGAACTGAGATCCCTTTAGGTTACCCGTGGTACCATGAGAAGGTCAGACAACTGAAGACTTTGGAGAGGATTTAGAGACACGACAGCTGTCTACATCTGTGGGACGGCAGCTAAGACAAAGGGCTGATTCTGGGGAACAAATAATACAATCATATAAGAACTTCCAAGTGTATTGTTGTTACTACTGTTGAGTTGGCCTCTGACTCATGGTGACCCCATGCACAATGGAACAAAACACTGCCCGGTGTTGTGCCATCCCCATGATAGGTTGGGGATCAGATGTTGTGATCCATAAGGTTTTCATTGGCTGATTTTCAGAAGTAGATCACCAGGCCTTTCTTCCTAATCTGTCTTAGCCTGAAAGCTCCTCTGAAACCCATTTAGCACCACAGTAACACGCAAGCCTCCACTGACGGACTGCTGATGGCTGTTCATGAGGCGCATCGGCCAGGAATTGAACTGGGTCTCCAGCATGGAAGACAAGAATTTGACCATTGAACTACCACTGCTCCCACCTTCCAAGTGGATAGACAACTATATATGGGAATCAAGAGGGGTGAAGATTGAGAAAAACAAGACAGTTACAGCATTTTTTATTTTTCCTCACACCTTTAATTTCCAGCCTGCCTCAGTTTCTCAACATGAAAACTAGGCAATACAAAAACCAGATGCTTCCTTTAATCTTGGAAGACAGACCCATTGTTTTTAATTAACAGACTGGTACAGTACCTTTAGCTAGAAAGATATGCAGACAGGAAGTAATCTTATTCAATTAAAAACTAGGCCAAAAAAAGAAGGAAAAGGAGGATACAGGCGGCCCCCAGATTACCAGCGCGATCTCTTCCTAACTGTGCCTTTCAGTCGAATTTGTAAGCTGGTAACAGGCGCATACGGTTCTTCTTTAGCCTTACTTTAGTGCAAGAAAAAGCCTAAGCATTTTCAATGATTTTAAAAGCTACACGTGCAGCGAGTGAAGGTGATGGTGATGAAGAATTTGTTGTGAGTAGGGGTTGGTTCAATCGTTTCAAAGTGAGGGCAGATTTACATAATATTAAAGAGCAAGTAAGGGCAGTCCGCGGGAGTCCCGGTGGCCAAGGAGTTGAGAGCTATGGCTGCTAACCGAAAGGTCAGCAGTTTGAATCCACCAGCTGCTCCTTAGAAACCCTATGGGGCAGTTCTATTCTGTCGTATATGGTCACTGTGAGTCGGAATCGACTTAATGGCGATTGGTTTGGGTTTTTTTTTTTGGCTAAGAGTTGTGTAAGTTGGGGACTGCCTGTACTTTATTCTTGTCTCCTGATAACAGAATTCCTTCTATTTTATACCTACCTGAGGGCCTTGATTTACTCCTGGGGTCAGAGGGTTTCCAAGAACATACTTCTTAGCCCGCTCAATACTCCTTCGAAGAAACTCGTCGTGAATTGATTCTTCCACAAAAAGTCTGGATGCAGCTATACAACATTGGCCCTGGTGGTAGAATACTCCCTGGTGTGCAAATTCCACTGCATTGTCCACTGCAAAGAAGACATGTTAAAGAAGAGATATTTTCTAAAGAGTCTACATTTTAATGTATACGTCCAAGAGGCAATATGATGGTATAGAAAGGTTGTGAGTCGGGTAGTCAGACACGGGCTCAATGTATTCTACCTCTTATCAGCCAGGTGACAAATTAATTTTTCTGATCCTTATTTGCTATGGGAAGAATAGCAACACATAGTAAACTCTTGAAAAAAAAGGTAGCCGTTATTATGACTTTAATGTCGGCATTACCAAGAATATGGAAAGTTTCATAAGATCAAATCTCATTGTGAATGTTCTTTATAACTATCTCCATTTATAACTAGTTTTATGACTGAAAATTTCTTTCCAGCCTCAGGTTTTAATTAGATAACAAAGAAAATCTGAAAGTTTTAATCACATTAAATAGAGCATTCTTAAATACCCTAATCAATAGGACAAGTGATATATATATAAGAAAAAAAAAATCTAATACTCAGAGTCTCTCCCCCACCTTACAGCTTTATTCTAGGAAAGATGTTTTCAAAATCTACTATCTAAAGAATGCCATATTATTTCATTTATGCCTATGAACTCTTCTTATTCAGTTTTTTGAGATGGTGAAAAACATTCCTTAAAAGGAGGATTTAGATTACTTCATTAGATCCTAAACAAGAAGAAAAAAAAAAAAAAAATCCATTGCATTTAATTCTCTAAATAGTGAAGGTTGAATTCAGCATTATAGCACCTGGGTATGGTTTCAGTTATTTTGTGAACTAGTCACACCTGCTTAAGTTGTAGCAGAAGCCGTTTACAGAAAGGTTTTGTAAAATCAGGAATCTTGCCATGTTAGTAGAATACATACTAAGGTAATACTTTCTAAAAAACTTCAGTTAACATCACAGCAGCAACACTGGCAATTCCATGAACCATTTGTATGAATAGCCTCATGCTGATATTGCAGTTGTTAAAGAAAGAATTAGATGAATGTTTGATCATCTATTTCTGCTACTGACTCCCATTTAGGAGAGAATACTGAGATTCTATTTGGTAATATAATCAGAATGAACCTAGGATATTATTGTATAGTGGAGTCCCGTCATAACTGTAGATTTAACATATGTAAATTCAATTACACTTGCTAGGGAAAAAAAAAGAGAAATTATTTAAATAGTAGATAGTATCTTCTTCTGGCCATTTCGTTTAATGAGCGTCTGGCCCAGAGTGAAGGGAGATGACAAATGTGTAATGGCTGTCTCCACAGTTGGTCCCAGTTCAATATGTCTGAGGATGGGCATCTACCTCGTCATGCTTAATGCAATGCTAATATGTAACAGTACAGAATTTAAAAAAAAAAATGCATCATGGCTCCCATTACGGGTTAAATTTTGTCCCTTCAAAAGATATGTTGACATCCTAACCCCCAGTACCTGTGAATGTGACCTTATTTGGAAACAGGGCCTTTACAGATGTAATAAAGCATAAGATGAGGTCATTATGATGGACCCTGATCCATCATGACTGGTGTCCTTACAAGAAGAGGAGAAAAGACACAGAGACATAGACACAGGGAAAAGCTGGCTGTGTGACCGGCCACAGTGGCAGAGAATGGAGCTGTGCTGCCACAAGCTAGAGGACACATGGGCCTAGCAGAAGCTGGAAGAGGCAAGGAAGGATCTTCTGCTGGAGGCTTTGGGAGAGAGCATGGCCCTGCACCCCTTGATTTCAGACTTTTATCCTCCAGAGTTGTAAGAGAATACATCTCTATTGTTTTAAGCCACCCAGTTTGCAATTCTTTGATAAGGCAGCCCTAGGAAACTAACATAGCCCCTAAATGCAAACCATTTACTCTGAGGTTCTGCTGAAGAAATAGTAATCTATTCCAAACCAGGGAGAAATGGTATATACGTTAGACCTACCTAGAGGTTATAACTGTAGGGCAATTTATGAGATTTTGCAGGAGTAATTTTGGACTCTGATTAATGCCTTACACTTTAATGTTCAAAGCAAACCCTTTTGTAAAATTCAAGTTCACTGAATGGCATTATCAGACACCACCAAAGATGTCGGGTGAAAAGTTAGCACAGCAGCTTTTACTTACAGTCAGCATCGGCAAACACAATGCACGGACTCTTTCCACCCAGCTCCAGGGTCACCCTCTTCAGATTGCTTTTCCCGGCAGCTTCTTTGATCATTTGGCCAACCTGAAATGGAGCATTACAAAGGAGGTTCTTAATCTGCTTTCATGAAGACAGGTTTATTCAGTAATTGAAATTTATAGGATATGTGTGTCATAGTTAAATTTCATTTGGGAGAAACGTTAAAAATTGAAATTTTCAAGATTTGGCACCTTCAGATATAAAAGGCTCCTCCATACAAGCAGACCTAAGATGAGTAAAAATAAAATAAAAATGCTTATGAGCAAGAGGCCAGAGGTGTAGAGCGTGATAGCTTATTTTGATGTGCAAGGCTAGATAGGACATTATTTTTCATTTTAATCAGAACTTCATTTCTCTAATGGATTGACCAGATACAGCATGACCCAACCTCAATTTATCTCTTTGACTTTTCACCCTCTACTGGTAAAATCCAGAAAATTCTATTCAGCTAAACAGGGCTATTCACACCCCCTCTCCCAAAATCTCACCTGTATGCTCCTCATCACTACTCACTCAGACCTGGAGGGCCTCTGGGTCCTACCCTTCTTTGGGACCTACCTCCTTTCTTAGCTCCTCTGTGAACCCTTCCCTGATGACCCCAGGTACAAATGACCTTCTCTTCCTCTGAACTCCCACAGAAACTTTATTGGGACTACTTCAGAGTCTGTCTCAGATTGTGTTATTTGTATACACAAAAATGTCCCAACAGATTGTTACCTCCTTGGTAGCAGTGACAGCGTCCTACACCATTGCATACCTCTCCTCAACAAGATCTACCACTGCGGGCTCCCTTCAGCTGTGACTGACACACTTCTCTCTCTCATGCTATATCTTTGAATAGTATAGCTACAAGAAAGAAATGGGATCTGTACTCTGTGCTGCTGTCTCAGTTGGCTGGAATCTACTGTTCTAGGTTTTTCCTTAATGCTAGTTGCCTCTCTTCAGAGAAAGACATTGTTTCTAGAATTTTTGTTTGTTTTTTTCTTTGTGGACGACTTACCATCAAGGTTATTTTCTGTAGTTATTTTTGTTTTTTTGTCTCTAAAACTTGGCCTGTTTTATAATTAATTATTTTTCATTATTTTTGTTGAAATCCTCCATCCACTAAAATATCTTTACTTTTTTTTTTTTTAAGATGATTCATTTTATTTTGATTCTTTTATTCTTTAGGTTGTTTTTACTACATCACAGAAAAAGTATTAGGATTTCTCAAAGGCTAAAAGATGTAGATTGCTGCTGCATAAGCTTGTTGTGTGACAACGAAAATGAAGAGGGTTGCATTTTTGTTTTCGTTTAGGTAACCCAGCAAACGTTTTTCAAATTAAACTTGGCTTAAGAGCATCGCAACTCATTAACGTAGAAACTCACAACTCTATATCAGATCTTAATAAAAAGTTTCCATCCAGACCGAACAAAAGATAAGTAGTTGCTTACTGACTGTATGTTTAAATTTTACGTGGTTATTGAACAACCTGTTACTGTGCATTTAAAAAAAAAACAAAACATTGTCACCGAGTCAATTTCGACTTATAGCAACCCTGTCGACAGAATAGAACTGCCCCATAGGGTTTCCAACGCTGTAATCTTTAGGGAAGCAGACTGCCACAATCTTTCTCCCGCAGAGCAGATGGTGAGTTCGAGCTGACCTTTCAGTAAGTAGTTGAACACTTAACCAGTCCGCCACCAGGGCTCCTGCTACTGTGCATTACAGAATATTAATTAATCCGCTAATGCTTTTCAGCTTTTCTGAAGATTTCATGGGAGTAAATCAAACCCCTAAAAAAGTAGGCTAAATATAGACTTGTATTGGAGAGACCCTGTCTGAATCATTTTTCAAAACCCAGAGCAATTTTTAGCACCCAGTTAGACATCATCATTTTATCCTGTGAACCCCCTCCCAGCACTCTGTATACATCTTAGTGCACTTATCACGTGCTGCCTTGTCTCTGATTCGTGTTAGCAGCTTTATAAGATGGGGGTACTCTCACCCTTCATCCTCTATCCTGCATGCAAAAAGAGGCATGGATTATTTCTTTTGCTGAACATCTAACAATGCCACATAATCTAATAGAATGATTCAAGAATTTTTCTGCTTTATACAATGTCATTTCACCACATTCCTTTGTTTAGGATAGAAAATAATCTCAAAAGATAGGAACTCATTCTCCCAAACACAGAAAGAAACTGTTCTGTCTTTGTTCCTCCTGTCTTTCCTTGCAGAGCCCATGGTTGGGTTCTATAAAGTTCTGGATGATCAAGCTGGAGCCAGAAACGAGGTAGAGAAGTGAGGCTGGGCCAAAAGTAACATCCAGGGGAGCTAGGCTTCTGGCTCCCTTTCAAAACGTCCAGGGAAGTGAGAGCCCCCAAATAAGGAGCTGAGGGTGAGGCTCTGCTATTTAATTTTCATAACCTACACAATAAAAATACATTCATTCATACAAATCACTGTGGCCTAATTTATATTTTCTATCTTAAACCTTACTAATCGTATACCAAGGCCTAACTGGTAGGGAATATAATAAACACACTAAGAACCGTTTACTCTAGTCCACCTGAGCTTGTGACAGATATTTCATCTCATCCAAACCACATCTGCTTATGTTCTATAAACATACGTGAAGGCGAGAATAAGGAACAAATCATTAGAGAGAACTTTTGTTTTAAGGAAGTGTCGGCTCAAAAATTGTTATGTAAAGCATGCTTCTGACAGCTGGAGAGGCAGACATTCATTACAACTGGCCTGAGTAAATGATCTTACCTCTGTTGATCCTGTGAACGCCACTTTGTCGATGTCCATGTGGGAAGAAATGGCTGCTCCTGCAGTGGGCCCATAACCAGGCACAATATTCACCACTCCTGGAGGAAACCCTGCCTAAAAGGCATAAAGCAAAAGACTTATAGCAGAACTGAGAATTTAATTCTATGAAAGAAGAGGACATTATGGGATTGAGGCTGTCTCTTTATGCTAATCTTGTAAATTTTCCTCTAAAACCCACTGCCATCAAGTCAATTCCTACTCACAGTGACCCTAGAGGACAGACTAGAACTGTCCCATAGTTTCCAAGGCTGCAATCTTTATGGGAGCAGACTGCCACATCTTTCTCCCGTAGAGCTGCTAGTGGGTTCAAACCACCAACCTTTTGGTTAGCAGCCAAGAGCTTAACTACTACACAACCTGCTAAGAAAAATTCAAGTAAGAGGTTTTATTATTAAATTATTATTATTATTATTTAATTTCTTAACCCACATAAAATAACCTGAAATATTCATTATCAAGGGACCATTTCTCTTCATGATAAATTCATGTTTGACTTTTATGCATCATTTCTAATGATAAAAAAAAAAAAATGATTGCCATCGAGTCGATTCTGACTCATAGCGACCCTATAGGACAGAGTAGAATGGCCCCATAGGGTTTCCTATGCTGTGATCTTTACAGGAGCAGATTGCCAGGCCATTTCTAATATGGAGCTACTGGTGGGTTCGAAGTGCCGACCTTTCCGTTAGCAACTGATTGATTAACCATTGCACCTACAGGCCTCCTTAATTTCATAATAGTAACTCAAAAAGATAGCGTGTGTGTTATGAATTGAGTTTTCTCTCCCAAAAAAGATTTGTTAAGTCTTAACTCCTGTACCTATGAATGTGATTCTTTTTGGAAATAGGGTCTTGGAAGATATTATTAATTAGGGTAACATGGTCATACTGGAGTGGGGTGGGGCCTCATCCTATAGGGCTGGTGTCTTTATAAAAGAGGAGAAGATACACAGAGGTAGAGAGACAGAGGAAGAATGCTGTATGAGTCTGCAGCTGCAAACCAAGGAGCACCTGGATGGACTAAGCACCTGGGTGGACTAACCAGTTGCCATCGAGTTGATGCTGACTCGTGGTGACTCCGTGTGTGTCAGAGTAGAACTGTGCTTCATAGAGTTTTTAATGACTGACTTTTTGGAAGTAAATTGCCAGGCCTTTCTTGTGAGGTGCCTCTGGGTGGCCTGTAACCACCAACCTTTTGGTTAGCAGCAGAGCAGGCTGACTGTCTGCACCACCCAGAGACTCCTTGGATGGACTAGTTTAAACAGCTTTGCAGAACAGCCAGAGCGTTCGTGGCAGTTATAAACCAACTTACATTTTAACATCTGAAAGAGAGCCATATGAATTTCAGCACTAATCTGTGTTCACAGGAGATGGGCAAAAGAAACAGAAAAGTGATCATAAGGTGATGGTTTGACACCCAGCATTTGAGTTTGGCTTCTTACGTACCTTTGAGGAGAGGTTCATTTGGGTTGGCTGCCAGAAATCCAAGGCAGTAGCCGTGCTAAATGTGTTTCCACCACTGGACAGGAGCCATTTGCTGAGAATGCAGTTTACAGTAGCACCCAATGAGGTCTTTCTATTATAAATTAGGATTCCTGAGTTCTTGTGTTTATTTTGATTTAGGACTTACCTCTTTTATTAAAGATGCCACATGAAGAGCTGTGAGAGGAGTTTGCTCTGCTGGTTTGACAATCACTGTGTTTCCACAGCTAAGGGCAGGCCCTATCTTCCAAATGAGCATAACCAATGGGAAATTCCACTATGAAGAAATGCATAACAATAGAGTCTTTGTATTGCTGAAAGACACATTTGCTAATCTAACTTTTACATGATACATACCTTGTAGATGTTAAACAGTAATTGTAGTAGTTTTGTGTAATCATCTGAAATATTTTACTTAAATTCATTGCTAAAAGCAAATTGTAAATGCTAAAAAGCTCTAAATAAATCGAGTATGAGGAAGGAGCAGGAGACAGTTATGAAATTATTCAGCTGCTGTAGTTTTGAGTTCTTTTCCTACTAGGAAAAATATCACTGCATGGCTTGGAAGTCCACCTTTACTGTTAAACATATTGTCAGCTATCTGGGTTTAAAAAGTGTAATCATTCCCTTTTCCCGGTAGGTTATTTACTGTAATTATTTACCCAATAGTATTATTAAATAGCACTTATTTTTAAGACAAATATGTTGTTAAAAATCAAAGAAGTCTAGGGTTGGCTCAATGCCTGACCAGCTATGTGAACCCTGACAAGTTATTTGCTCTCTGTGCATTGTCATGCTATAAATGCTGAAGACAGTCTTCTTTACCTCAGAAGGTTGTCCTGAGAATTAATCGAGAAAGTAGGCCTAGTGCTTATGAACACAGTGATCAGTCAGTGACTAGTTCACCATTCAACCTGTTGCCGTTGAGTCGATTCCGACTCATAGCAACCCTATAGGGCAGAGTAGAACTGCTCCCCAAGGTTTCCAAGGAGTGGCTGGTGAGTTTGAACTGCTGACCTTTTGATTAGCAGCCAAGCTCTTAACCACTGCACCACCAGGGCTCTACCATTCACACAGTACAATAAATATTAGCTATCATTAGTATTCAGGATTATGTAGTTCTTATCGATTTTTTTGAACTAATGAATCATTCAAAACGCTGATACGTTCCAATCTCATTGGAGCAAAAGATTTGTCATTTCTAAGAACTTCAGGACTCCTCCCTGCCTTTTCATTTGGCATTTTTGAATATGCCAGCCAAAGTGAAATTCTTTAGATAGTCTCCTGTTTGTTGGGCTTAGAAGGAAATCGTCATGATTCCACTTAGAATACTACCTTCCCTAAGAGGATTTGGAGTATCAGAGCTGCTTATCTAAAGGTAGAATATGTTCCATATAGTGCTCCAAATGCATCTGGCAGTACTTCTTACATTTTAATTTTAAAAAGAAATTCTTTTAGGATTTGAACAACCTGGTTGTTACTATTCTTCATGATGAGAAGTCTCAAGAAGGAGATAAAATGGGTTGGAGAGTACTAGGGCCTAGTATATTTTCCTAAAATGGTGTCCTGCAGGAGATGGGCCTGCAATGACCATTTGTCACATGCATTTAAAGCATGGGTCTTACAAAGAATATGTAATACAACTTGCTTTTTGAAAGAAGTCATAGAGTAAAAGTTAAGATTTGTTGATACTGTAATATTGAAACACACTCCAGAGATATATCAAGATACAGATAGGTTTCTGGACAGTGGCATCACTAGATGGGTGTGGACTGCACTGGGTGACACTGTCAGAGGGGATGACACCGAAATGACTGTCTATAAAATTTTTGTGCAGTGTTTCAAGCAGAAATTCATTATTTTTTATAAAAAATATTCCTGTAGTTTAACAACAAAAATATGTTTTGGAAGCCCAGCTTACATGTATCAATATACCTACAAGGCTAAAACTCCATGCGGATTTATTTACTCTTTGAACTCTCTAATGCGCTCTGTCAGAGCTGTCATTAATACCCAATTACAATGATGCTTCGAATCACATGGTTTCGTAGGCACCCACTACAAAAACGCGCTGTTGTTTTTGTTGCTGCCAGTGGTTTTATAGTCTCTGATTTTGTCAAATTTTTGGTGCTTTCGCTACAATATTGTGATAATTAGAATTCATGAACCTGTATCAATAACTTTTTTGAGAATGAAGTAGTAATTAAGGAACAGAAAGAGAAAAAAAAGGCTTTGCTCAATTACTAATAATTTAACTAATAATGTTGTAATTCAGTGTAAAAAGATTTTATAAAACAATTTTGTTGTTAGTATTCATATAATCTAAGAACATTACATTTAAACAATTTAGAACTATATCACATATTATCCTATGAGTAAAATTGATAATAAATATTACTAAGGATTCTGTATGGTCTGGTGTGGGTAGAGGTCCATGGGGGGATTGACCCCAGGAGTTACACCACTGGGTGACACCAACTCTAGTGGGACCACTGTTTCTGGACAACCGAGTTCATACCCAAAAAGTTAAGTCACAAGGAGACCAGGTACGTCCTACAATTTACTCTGCATTTAGTAAATACCTGGTAAGGATCCATTTGTGTTGGAGAAAGCTTCATCGCTAAATTGAATAGATTTAGAATGATTTAGAATTTTATTATTAAGTTTGAAAATTATACAGGAGACCAACTTACAGGAATGATCTGGCCACATACACCAACAGGCTCATGTTTTGTATAAGTAAAATAGTTTCCATCTGGAAAATAAAACACACACAAAATCATATTTAGACAGATATATTTTACGTTCATTGACTGATGGATTAAGGCTTATGTGAGGGAAAGGTGTAGGCAAAAAGTAAAACTAAAAATAAAAAAAACATACCTTCCAGTACTTACAAAATGAAAATTTGAGTCCTCAGATAGTAATTTGGAATGATAGGAATTGTGAAACTGAGTTAGGTCAAAGCAAAGATGCTTAAAATTAGAAAAGATCTTGTAGTGAAATGAGTTTCTTTATGTGGCCTTTGCCTACGTTTTTTGGAAAAACAGCTTGAGATATTTTTCCTCTAAGCCCTGAGGAGTCACCTTTCCCCTAGTTTTCTACCCCAGAGGGTTTGTTACTTTTGAGCAGGTTAATCGACATTCCCTGGGTAAGTAGTAAACAGGTTTTGATACGTTTTTGTCTGGTCCTGGGCCACAACCTGCCCTATGATTGATATGAACCTTGCAGGGATTGGCCAATAGATTATGCAAATGACTATAGCCCACTATGCAAACGAAGTATCTGTGGCCTACCAAGAAAGGATTGGCCAGTTTGTGGCCCCCTCTGAGAGGGGCTGTGCCTGAAATTGACAAAGAGTATATAAGCAGCCAAGCCCACAGAGGTTTTTGAGACAGAAAGCAGCAGGAAGAGAAGTAGCAAGAAGCAGCAGAAGGAAGAGAAAAGAGAGAATCAGCAGAGAGAGGAGGCAAGGAACCTCTTAAAAGAGCTGTAACATGGGTCAAGGGCGGTAAGACTGAAGACAGTGACAGGCTCAGAGGGGGTCCAGTGGCAGAGCCCACAGTGATAGATGGCAGAGCCAAGAGGAGCATGTCCCGAGGGGGCTGAGAGGAGCCTTTCTGAAGGGGCCGAGAGAAGGCCTGCAAGGTGAAGAACTGAGAAAGCTGTCCTGCACTGATGGAGTCTTTGCCTACATGCTTCTGATCCTGACCCTGAGTTCTAGCCTGTTAATCCTCATCGTGAGTTGTACCCTGTTCCTTAATAAACTACTTAACTGTAAGTATGGTCTATGAGTTGTGTGTGGCCATTGCAACGGCTTATCGAACCCAGAAGAGAAGTAGAGAGTATGTGGGAGGAATGGCTGGTGTCAGGACTGGTAATGAAGGGTGGAGTGTGGAGGTATGTCTGACCTCTGTCTCATAGGAATTGACTTTGTGCTGATTCTTATATTTGAAGTTATTCGTACAGATCTGAAAGGTAATTGATTCTGTTTCTCATTGCATAAGAGGCCTGTTTTCTATTATTCTATTCTCAAAGTTTTATAGAAAAGGAATGAGAAAGAAAGTAGGATGTGTGTGGCTAAGAGAAGAACCATAATAAAATGTATTTATGGCAATTATAACTTCTACTAGTAGTAAGGTTTTTTTAAAAAAAAATAGAATTAAAAATATAGAAAGTTAGAAACTAGTAGAATTAAAAAACAAACAAACAAACAAACAAAAAACTCCCTAAAAGCAATGAGATACATATATAGCCTTTCCTAGTGGCTTGTTCTAAAATGTTCTTTTTGTACCTACTGAACAACAGAAGTAAACGCTCTTAATTCATGAAAAAATAAAACAAAAAGCCAGAAAAAAGATGTTTCTTTCAACCTGGATTTAACTGACTCATATGCCTCAGAGTTTGTTGTGGCCAACCTGAGCGTTACATTATGCTTTATCTTCTGTTCTGTTCTAGTTCCCACAGAGGCGTCCTGGCTCTCACAGCAAGAACTCTCCTTATCAAGGTCTATTTGTACTTCAAATGGTACCTCCCATTTGTCAAAGGATAAAGTAAACAGTTACTGAAATAATCAAATTCCTTGGGACCACCGTGGCCTCACTCTCCCCTTTTAACTTCCTGGGTATCACTTCTAACTTACTGGATGCTCCAATTAGTTTGGAAAGGCACATCAGGACCAGATTGGAGGTTGTTGTATTCCTATAGTCAATAAATTTATATGGATTAAACTCCACCCATACTATTTCTCAAGCTGATGCTTTTTCACATTTCTATCTCAGTATGTGCATGCCTTCACTAAAATCAGACATACATACACATTCATACACATGAATTAAGACATCTGTAAACCCAGTGCCATCTTGTTTTGAAGCTATTTGAAACAAATCAATGTGAATTAGTTTGTTGAATTATCCTGGTCTGACTACAATGAGTTAGACCATGTACAGATGACCATAACTGACTCATTCTGGAACAAGAGGCTTAAATAATTACATTATAGATAGTTATAAATGTCACTATTGGAATACAACCCAAATACGTAAGTTCAGAGGCCAGCTTTGAAACGTTTGGGTTCTTAGAGAGGCAGTTGTCTTAAATCAAAAGTTATGGCCAAAAGAATGCTCCTACTTGAATGTTTGCTAAAATATACAGTGTGATTATGCTGAAACAATTTTAAAAGCCATTTGATAAATCTTAACAGAACTTTCAGGTTCAGAACTGAATTTTCTCCAAGTCAAGGAGAAAATAAATTTGCCTTATTTGGTTGACATTTTTAAAAGAGAGAGCTTGGAATTAATTCATCTCTGCAGTAATTTCCATGCCCTACCCCCATCCCTGGTGGTTTCCCAAAACTACTTACCAGCTGGTATTGTTCGGCCCTGGATCTTGTCAGCCCAGCCTGCACAGTAGCGTAGTGTTTTTATGCAGCCTCCTAAATCCATCAGATAAGAATTGGCAAATAGTTTTCCGCCATTGATTGACTCCAGTGTCTGAAAAAGAGATCAAACCTCAAATCTAAACTTCCATAAAATGTATAGATTAAAGAATATACATGAATATATATATATACCCAAGACCAAACCCATTGCCATCAAGTCAATTCCAACTCATAGCGACCCTATAGGACAGAGCAGAACTGCCCCATAGGGTTTCCAAGGCTGTAAACTTTATGGAAGCAGACTGCCACATCTTTCTATCATGGAGCACCAGATGGATTCCAATCACCAACCATTCAGTTAGCAGCTGAGCACTTTAACCACTGCACCACCATGGCTCCTTATGAATATATGTCTTTCCAATATTTTGAATAATTATGTGTTATAGAATTTTGGTAGGAGCCCTGGTGGCACAGTGGTAAAAGCTCTTGGCTGCTAACTGAAAGATCAGCAGTTGGAACCCATCAGCTGCTCCTTGAGAGACAGATGTGGCAGTCTGCTTCCATAAAGATGATAGCCTTGGAAACCTTATGGGGCAGTTCTACTCTGCCCTATAGGGTTGCTATGAGTTAGAATTGACTCTGTGGCAATGGGTTTCTTTTTTTTGCTTTATAGAATTCTGGATATGGAATAAATACTATAAGTCATCTTGTCTAACCTCCTTTAAAAAGAGGAGAATGAAAAACCAGTTAAAATGACTTGCTTAAGGTCTTGTAGCAAGAAATAGTAGTTGGATTCTGGTTTCTAAGCCGTACTGCTCGTCCTATGGCATTGTGAGTGTGCTCTAGAAAACCAGTGGTCATGGACTGAGCTGTGTCCTCCAAATATGTGTCAACTTGGCTAGGCCCTGATTCCCAGTATTGTGTGTTGTCCTCCATTTTGTCACCTGATATAATTATCCTCCATTTTCTGATGTGTCGTAAATCCTAACCTCTATATGTTAGTGAGGCAGGATCAGTGTGGGGTGTATATTGAGTCACAGCCTTACAAGAGGATGTAACTCAAGTCACATCCTTACTTAAGTCACATCCTTGCTTGAATCACACCTTTTATCTTAATCCATTGCCGTCAAGTTGATTCTAACTCATAACAACCCTAGAAACAGAGTAGAACTGTCCTATAGAGTTTCCAAGGCTGTAATCTTTACAGAAGCAGACTGTCACAGCTTTCTCCCACAGAGCAGCTAGTGTGTTGGAACCACCGACCTTTCAGTTAGCAACCCAGCAAGAGAGAAGCAAGTGAGAGGGCAGGGACCTCATTACCACCAAGAAAGAAGAGTTGAATGTGGAGCACATCCTTTGGACCTGGGGTTCTTGTGCTGAGAACCTACTAGACTCAGAGGAATATTGAAGCCAAGACACATGGCGATCTCCAAGAATGCTGGGCCCACAGATGTTGAAAGCAGACAAGAACCTTCCCCCAGAGCTGAAACAGAGAGAAAGCCTTCCTCTAGAGTTGGTGTCTTGAATTTGGACCTCTAGGCTCCTAAACTGTGAGAGAATAAATTTCTGTCTTTTAAAGCCATACACTTGTGGTATTTCTGTTATAGCAGCACTAAATAACTAAGACAGAATTTGGTACCAGAAGTGGGGTGCCGCACTAACAAATGCCAAAAATATGGAAGGGGTTTTAGAATCGGGTAGTGGGTAGAGGCTTGAAGAGTTTTAAGATGCCTAATAGTAGAAGCCTAGATTGCCTGGAAGAGACTGTTGGTAGAATTATGGACACCAAAGACAATTCTGGTGAGGGCTCAGAAGGAAGTGAGGAGAGCTGTAGAGAATGTCTCTATCATCTTAGAGAACACATATGGCACCAGTAACAGAATGTTGCTAGAAATGTGAACATTACATGTTCTTCTGTGAGGCTTTAAAAGGAAATGTTGAACATGTGTGATGGTTAAGATTGTGTGTCAACTTGGCTGGGCCGTGATTCTCTGTGTTTTAATGTAATCACTCCCATGACTGAATATACTGTGAGTAGCCAATCAGATGAAAGGGAGTCTCCTTGGGGGTGTGGTCCACATCTGTATATAAGCAGACGTTCCAGCTTTTTGCTCTCTCTGGATCCTGCGGCTGCTTCCTGTCGTCTCATCTCCCGTTCTGGGGACTTGAGCTGTCAGCTTATCTGCCGAACCTGGGATTCATCGATCTGCACAGCCTGTGAGTGGGAGCCCTGCTCTCCGACCTTCCAATCTTGGGCTTTCCAGCTTCTGCAGCTGTGTGACTTGGGAGAGGCCTCTACCCTGATCCACGGACTTGGGACATTCTAGCTTCTACAATTGCGTGAGCTGTTTCCTTGATATAATCTCTCTATATATATATATTTATACACTTTACTGGTTTTGCTTCTCTAGAGAACACAGCCTAAAACAACATGTGACTGGAAAATGGAAGAAGGGCATTGGTTTTTATGCAGTGGAAATGAACTTATTCGAAATATGTTCAAATATTTGGTTGAAGGTAGAACTTGTAAGTGATGAACTTGAATATCTGACTGATGAGATTTTTAAGTAAAATCTTAAAGGGGTCACATGGTTTCTCCTTGCCACTTACAGTAAAAATGCAAGAGGAAAGAGATGGACTTAAAAATGAACTGTGCAAAATGAAAACAGAACTTAAAGCTTTGGAAAATTATGTTGTACAAACTAAGGACATGTGTCCTAGAACTTTCACCAAGGAAGTGGCTACATGAACTTTTGTTAAAGAGATTAAGACTGTGACCAATGGATCTAAGCAACTACCACAGTAGAAAACCCATCAGAAAGAAAACTTTCCCCCCAGAGCTGGCACCCTGAATTCTGACTTCTAGTGTCCTAAATTGTGAGAGAATACATTTTGTTTGTTAAAGCCATCCACTTGTGGCCTTTCTGTTATAGCTGCACTAGGTAACGAAGACATTAACTTTCTAGAAATGATTTGAGAGCTGGTAACAGTGGCACCTAGTCTCCTTAGTCAGATCAGAGTTCCAACAGGATTTCACTTATTGTATAATCCAACTGAGGGTGACAATTTAGTATCAGTGACTATTAATGATGTTTCAATAATTATTTTTAATTTTTGCTTTCCATCTAGATACAACCAGTCTAGTCACACAAACTTGAATAACACCTAGGTCTTTGATCCGTGAATTTTCCAGTCTAGAATAAGAACCATAGTGTTTAGATTATAAATTAAAAATGAATTAAGGTGAATAGAAATGTTTCAAATATGGTTATTTTTATGATTATTCAAATTGTTACACACACAGAATTTTCTTCAACAAAATTAGAATTTTTTTTTCTTTTAATTGCGATACTTTGAATTTTGCTATTGTCATAATTATCATTTGAATGGCCAGATTGTAAAGTTCAACCTTTTCTAGTCTGGTGCCCTAACCATTATAGAATAGCCTATCTTCTCTTTTCCTTCTTTTATTAAGTAGAATTTAAAGAGCTCTTTGAGACCTAATATTCTGCTGGGGTATTTACCAAGCAGGAATCTGCAGCTGAGAGAATGGAATGTTCTCTGTCTCTGTATTTTACTGTCTACCATCTCAAAATTAAATTAAACATGATTTCTGTATGTCTGCCATTTTTTCCCTTAGAAACTTGTGCTGATAGATGCATTCAACGCTCTATAATCCACAGATTAGATAAATGAGAGAAGTCAAGTTTTAGCAAATGCCGCCTTCTTCCTACAGGACATTTTGGTTAATGCAGTTTTATTGCACATAGCTTCTGGTTCTATATTTTTTGCATACTTTGAATTATGCTGAATCTTTGAGTAATAAATGGTACTTTAATTATATGAATGACTGTTGATTAAAAAAAAAATGGTAGGCCTCTTCTTTACTGCCTGTTTAAAATTCTAAAGACAAAAATTTATTCTGAAAACTGATCTTGGTATTGGATTGTGGTTAAATTGATTTCACTATAACACGCAACTAAAAAAAGAAAACAAGGAAGCATACACTCCCATCTTAACTGCTGACTCATCTAACTGGTAAAATATATATTTTTAAGAGCAGTGTATATAAAAACATAACTTTTATAGACACGTAAATAATTGTTTTTTTTTCTTTATTCTTTGCCTTTTTTCCACCTGTAAAAAGATCCTAATTTAATCAAATGAACAGATACATTTTAGAAAGGGAAGAAGTTGTCATTTTTAAGTGTCTTAGTGAGCTAGACTAAGGATAAATAAGATTTATTTTAGAAAAATATTCTGGGAACCTTTAACAAACTCCAGAAGGTTTTCCACTAAAAGAGGTCAGTGATCAAGCAAGTTTGAGAAACGCAGTTTATCAATCTAAGAGTTCCATACTGCATGTGATTTTGTCAAAGTCTCTGAGAAGCTCTAGAGTAAAGGAAAGACATTTGTGAACTTTAGTTTAACTCAGTGTTTGCAAAGTTTAGACTGTAGAATCTATTATAGGGTCAGAGATTACATCATCCAAAACTAGAGTACAGATTATTATTTAAGAATAAGTTCAATGTTAAAATTTCTGTATAAAATCTAGAAGTTGAAATATTTTATATTTTGTTTGTAGCACTTGTAGTAACTTAATGACTACAAAAACCTACCAACTTTCCAGTTCAAACAACAGATGTTTTCTAGAGCTCTTACTACCTGCCCGATGTGGCTAATACTCACTGCGAGCAGCAGGTGATCCCTTTCAATTAAATCAGCCAACTTGTATAAGAGTCGTCCCCTTTCGGAAGCATCCATAGTACGCCATGGAGAACCAATCTGAAAAGCTTGTCTTGCAGCCTTCACTGCTTTGTCAACATCTGCCTGTAAGAAAAATGGTAATTCAATTCAGTCGGCTAAACATATTAGCAAATCCAAGGGCAATGACCCTATAAAATAGACTGGAGCTTCTTATAAGTGAGCACTGTATCTCCATTAGCCCAAAGTCTAGCACATTTACAAACTCAGTGTGTTGAAATTAAGCCCACTGCCTTATCTCTAAAATGATGAGCTTATGAAAGCATCATCTGGTTGATTTCTTAGAACAAATAATTATTTTTAATAGCTGCTATCACTGGAGTGCTTACTATATATATCCAGTAGTGTTGTAATAACTTCATATACATTAACTCATTTAATTCTCAATAATTTTATGAGATACAACATGTTCCCCATTTTACAGATGAAGAAGCTGAAGCAAGGAAGAGAAGAGATTTGCCCAAGGTCAATAGCTAAAAGTGGTTGAACTGAGCTTGTGTGAAGCAGTTGCCCTTCCACTACTATTTGGTGATTGAGATACCAAGAATTCCAGGCAAGGTTCAAGGTCTTTGGGCCCTACCTCACCTACCAAAACTTATTGTTCACATTTTTCCTACTCTTAGTCTGGCCCAACTTTTTCTCACCTCCGTTCCCATAATTCTCCTTCCCTAGAATTCTCTCCCAGCATACCTCTTTACTTCAAAATCCTACACATTATTTAAGACCCACCTCAGAAATCACAATGTACCTAAACCCTTGCCAGACTAATCCAGCGTGATAATATCTACTAGTTAAGAGTCCACTAAGCTCCAGCCACTAAGCTAAGCTCTTTACAGCTATTAGCTCATCAAGTCCCACAGTTACCACTATAGTTAAGTACTATGGATCTTATTTCACAGTGAATAAACTGTGGCTCATTGATACTAAATGTCTGAGCCAGCAAATTGTAGAGTCAGGATGTGATCCCACATTGAACTCCAAAATCCAGCCCTTATAGCTGTGCCAGGTTGTGTCCTAATAGTGATCTTCTTTGCAATGAGTACTTACTGCTGTCTGTATTATAAGCTATACTATTTCTTACTGTTCTGGACCTACAAAAGGCAGGTAATAAACATTTAATAATTTTGTTACCTATGTTATAAACTCATTGATCTTATATGAGGTTATGATAAAGGTGATATAAATCATTCATATTGATATTTATATAGTAAATCTTATTTTAATATATTTCATTATATGACAAACAGCTTTTATATTAATCAAAATTATTAGGTATAAGAGTTTTGTTTTAATTCTAGTACTAGCATTTCCTGGGTTTTTATTTCAGGACTGCCTTTCCAGGGATAACAATTGGTGAATTAACCAGAAAATAATCTGGAACATTAACTCAGATTTTCCACCATCATTTACACTTTTGCCTTATAATGTTTGAAACTTTTTTTTTTTGTAAGTAAGGAAACACAAGCCTGAATGTATGAAGGCAATTTAAATGATGACGAAACATCAAATGCTGCTTAAGCATGGTTAAGAAAGGACCAAACTCTTCAATTACTCCAAGATTGTACACTTCGATATTAAATTCATTTAGAAATGGAGAAAGTAGTTATCAGACCTGTTTTACTCTTACACCCATCATAGGCACTTACTTTAATGGACATTTGCTTTTATCCTCAACAATCATTTGCTAGCTCATGCTTTAGTATTAAACGCAGTTTTCAGGATTAGTCAATATAGCCTAAAAGAATCATTGAAGTGAAAAGAAAACAGTTCCCACCCACATCTGTGCTTTGCTTTGTAACCTCCATTTGTTCTTGCCCCTCCTCCTTTCTTTATAATACCACTGAAAGGCGGTATACAGCCCATTGTTAGCACCATTCTACTTATAAATTAAATCCCTAAACCCTCTTGGCTCATTAGCTAAAGAGTCAGTTCCAGAATATTAGGTTTACTGTGACTATGTAATTTACTAGATTTGTACGTTTCACTAAGCAATGTTGTTGGAGGTTCCTGTACATTTGTAGGCAAAAGTGTGAGAAGAGCAATAATTCTTTAAGAAGAAAAGTTAGTAGATCATTCCGAAAGGAATAGGCTACAACAAGAGGGTCGAATGTTAAGGGAACTGTTGCTTTCCATGGACAGTTTATACCATGAACAATTTAATTTCAGTGATCAAATATTCTGCCAACTAGAGCAGCCTAGCCGTGTGATGAAATTTGAAGCTTTGCTGTGTGTATATGAGTGTCCTTAATTTACATTTGTGCAGACGGGCCTCCTCTTTTCTGAGCAGGAGTAATTGTTAACAAGCACAGAGCAAATAAATGACGAACATTTGGAAGGCTTTGGGTATGATCATCAGCTTTCCCTTGCTACAACTGAGAAAGAAGGCAAATCCCATGAATGCCAAGAACGTCCTCAGACTACCTTCCACGATTTCATCTGGAACTCTAGGCACAGATTCATTTTACTGATGAAACTAATCCCAGAAGCCAACGGCAGAGCTAGATGCTCAAGACTGCAGAGTTAAAATATTAAGGATATTTTTTTTTTCTTTTGTTAATTGCAAAGTGAAAACAGATCTGCAGCCTTCCTCCTGAGTGGAGAGAAAGAGTAGGCAGCTGTCAGGGAATGATTGTCCTTACCTTGCCCTCTAAAGCTTTTCACATAGTCCCCAGGCTTGCCAGAGCCACTCAAACCACCAGAGGGATTTTGAGGTCATGCAATGTGTGGATCTCTAGAAGTGTCTGATAAAAGGTTGAATGTGAAGAATAAATGTTCCTCTTATTTTTGGGAAGGGCTTGTAGGACACAGGTTTTTGAATTTCCTATGTCATCTTGCCAGGAATGAGCAATATTTTTCTGCCCAAGTTTGGGCTTAGAACGTTTCATAGAGGTGCAGAGTTATTGCCACAGTCCAGTTTCCATTCATCAACTTACTTGCTTATTAAAGTCCATAAACCTTATTAAATGCTAACACTTGAGAAGAGATTCACCTTATGGTTTAGTATCTTGGTTTATTGATTTTCAAAGTGAAGTCCCCTCCCAACCAGAAACATCTGTATCACTTGAGCATTTACTAGAAGTGAAAATTTGGGGTCTCACTCTACAATTGTTAAAACAAACTCTGAGGATGGAGTCCAGCAACCTGTGTTTTAACAAGCCCTCTAGGAGGTTCCAGTGCAAGCTAAATTTTGACAGTCACTGCCTTAGTTAATAGTAAGTTTAGTACTGGATTCCCAACTGTCTTCCCAAGTATGTGGGGTGTATGGCAATTCAAAGCTTGATGGAGAAGAAGAATGTTACATTTATTCATAATCTATAGTATACCAAGTACTGAGGACAAAGATTTGAGATGTAGTATTGATCTCTGGGTGGTGCAAATGGTTAATGTGCTCCACTGCTAACCAAAAGGTTGGAGGTTCAAGTCTACCCAGAGGTACCTCGGAAGAAAGGCCCAGCAATGTACTTCTACAAAATAAGCCATTGAAAACCCTGTGGAGCACAGTTCTACTCTGGCACATATGGGGTTGCCATGAGTCAGAGTTGGCTTGATGACAACTTTTTTTAGTTGGTTTTTATCTCTATAAGAAGCATATTGCCTCAGCTAAATTAGCCAATAGCAATAAAATACAAGGGTTATAATATAGGCAAATAAAACGTTCTATAATGTTACAAAGCAGAGCAGTTCTACCTGGGAAGATTAGAGATAGCTTTAGAAATGTACGACCTGGTAATGATTGAGGTTTTATTATGTGCTCAGTGCTGTTAAAGATGTTTGCATATTTTCTTATTACTCCCCAAAGTTTTTCTATTTCCTCATTTTACATGAAAAGGGGCAGAAACTGAAAGAGAGTAGGTAAAAATGTAGAACCTCTGTGTTCTTAACTACAGATGATGATCTGAACTAGGTCCCGAGGACTGTACTAGGGACCCAGCACAGAGGCAATGACCAGCATGCAATGTTCGGGGGACAGCACTGGATATGGTGCAGTCGGAACTCACGTTGGTGGATGGAACAAGGGTTGAATAATATTATAAGGAACCTTGCACATGGATTTTTTTTCTAGAAGTAGTGAGAAACCCTTGAAGAGTTTATGCGCCGATGAACCCTCTAATATACATAAAAAGTGAAGTCTGTAAGCAAGTGACTCAATTCTATCCTGTTTCTATTTCTCCCTCTGTTGACTCCTGTGGCTGAACTCTGTGCTCCTGTGCCTTCAGACATCAGTCTTAACTTCGTTCTGATAATACTGCAACCTGAACCTGGGGGCCTTCCCTAAATCCAGAAGAGCTTCTTAGATTTATCGCTATCATGGAATAGATCTGCTTGGCTTAATGTATTAAGATTGTTATTGTTAGGTGCCATCGACTCATAGCAACCCCAGGGAACAGAGTAGAACTGCCCCATAGGGTTTTCAAGGCTGTAATCTTGCCGAATCAGAGCACTAGGACATTTTTCTGGGGAATTGCTGGGTGGGTTCGAACTGCCAACCTTTCAGTTAGCAGCCGTGCACTTGACTGTTTGGGCTACCAGGGCTCCTTGCATTAAAATTAGTAATTTCATTCTTGGGGGAACAGTAGGGAAAAAATAGAAACAGGCCCAGAGCATGTGATTGGTACAACTGATTAAAACATGGTGTAATGAATAGGTAAGATCCTTAGATTTGACTGACTTCATCTGCCAATGGTCTTTTTTGCACAACAAAAAAGAAATTTACCTAACCAAATTTTATGTTATAGTGACTTGAAGCTTGATAAGGTCTAGAAAAAGACTAGAAAAATTGTTTTAAATTAGATCTAGGAATGCATACACTTTTAAGGTATGTTTCGGATAAAATTTCTGTAGACTTTTACTTGCCTTTCCCCAGGGGTCACTTAAGAATACCTTATTTTTACAATAATCACAAGGTAAGACAGTAGCCCTGCCAGTCACAGGCTCTGGTGTTGGAAGGAAGCATTTGAATACTGATTTCATTATTTATTAACAGTCACCTTGAGTGAGTTACACAACCTTTCTATTCTGCCCTTACATGATCATTCCTAAAAAAGGTTAAGAATAGTATCTTCTTCTTAGGGTCGCTTTGAGTATTAAATTGAAACAATATTTAGAGCTTTTTTTTTTTTAAGTTATTACTAAACAAAAGTTGGTTTCTGTTCTTACTATTATTAGCTAGAGAATGATAACACTTAACTTATTTAGTTTAAATTATTTAAAATTCAGTTTTAAAGGTATTGATCAATATTAAATTCACTGATTTTAGTAAAATAATTTTAGCAATATATTGTTTTTAAAATCCTACATTAACTTTTGTTTAAGTTTCATCTAGCAACTTAAAAAGAACACTTTAATATGAATAAAGGATTTCTTTGTAAATCTATGATCAGTCCTGTCTTTTGCAGTTTGTACAGTGAATCTAGACATTCCTTCAATGAAAAACAAGCAAGAAAAATTAGTACAAAAAGAATCAAACAGAGCACCCCAAAGCATAGGCTAATCACCGTTAGATGGCTACTATGTGATCTCTTTGCTTCAAGCACGATTTAGAAAATTTCTCTAGACAGCCCCAGAAGCCATACTTGAATGACGTGCCTACTTAAGCCAGCAATGGCGTTTGGGGCCCCGGAATGGAAAGAGACAAAGAAACCGGGCATAAAATGAACTAGTGCTAGGAAACTCACCTTATCTCCTTCTTCTACCTCACAGAGTTTTTCCTCGGTTGCTGGATTGAAGACAGGAAATTTCTTGCCACTCACTGAATCATGCCATTCATTGTTTATGAAGATCTATAAGGATGAAGAGAAAATAAATAGAAAGGAGTTTAAATATGCAAGCTATTTTAAAAATGGTTTATAGAGCTAGCATTACACAATATCTAACAAGCCACAGGAGTCCCTAGATGGTACAAATGGTTAATACTCTCGGCTGCTAAGTGAAAGGTTGGAGGTTCAGGTCTACCCAGAGGCACCTTGGAAGAAAGTCCTAGTGATCTGCTTCTGAAAAATCAGAGACTGAAAACCCTGTGGAGCACAGTTCTACTCTGATACACAGGGAGTTCCCGTGAGTAGGAATCAACTTGACGCAACTGTTTCTTTAACAAACCAAAGCATTACAACTTCTCCCCTTTTCTCCCCCTTTCTCCAAGATTTTGTTGGCTGTTTAAGACATTTTATTTACACACTCACACGCATGCATGCACATATTCATATACACTGAAATAAGGTAATACTTTTAAATTTCATTGAAGTATGAGATTATTCCAGTACTTGAAAATACAGACTGAAGAAAATAATCTCAAAAAAAGTTGCTTTTATCTGAAATAGCCATAAATTTGAGGCAAGAGTAGAAGCTTTGGAGGCGTTGATACTTATGAATCATTTTCTCCATTTCCCACTTCAGATTCTGAACGGGCTCATTTAGGGCTACTGAATGGTTTGGTATCATAAGTGACTATTTTCTGGTCCTTTATTTCACTGCTTGAAAGGTAACTTGAGGGGAATTTAAAAAGAAGTTTAGCTTAGGGAAAAAAAATGGCTAGTTACATTATAATATGTATGCACTATCTAGCTTCATTATCAGAGTCTTGCATCTAAACTGTACATATCAAACTCCCCCTTCAGATTAAAGTCAGTGACTGTTTTGAAAACGAACATGAACCGAAAGTAATAAGGCGAGCTTATGTGGCAGGCTTAAGGTAACTAAAAAATTAGTTGTAGAGGGTTCCAAATTACCAGGAACTGTTTTGCATTATTCAATTTTAACCTTTAATATAGGAGAACATGTGTACCTAGCTTTTGCTTCAATTTGTGTTTACATTCACATAATCCCACATAGTCACTTTTGTGTTATCAGAAAGTTGTGTATCAATCAATGGGGGAAATATGAGATGCACTCTGGAAGTTACTAAGGGAAATTTCAAGATGAGTTAGCCATGGATCTTCTCAAGGGGCTTGCAGTCTAAGAGAAGAATGTGTTTATATCAAGACCAGCCAGGAAAAGAATAGAAGGTTGTAGGCTAAAATGACCAATGCAGTACTTCAATCGGTTAATTGCATAGAGGAACTCAAGGAAGAGAGAGATGTGGCTGGGAGAAGGCAGCCTTGCAAACTGGGATTTGGATTAGTGGAAACAAGGAGAACAACGAGCAAGGGAAGAGAACAATCTTAGGATATTTGTAACACAGTCAAGAGATCAGCCCTGAATAGAGAGTTCTGGTGGGGAAGTAAGTTTTAGACAAGCTCAGACAATGAAAACAAAGTCAGTTTGTAGTGGATATTGACTCCTGGAGTGAGAAGTTTAGACTTTATTCTGCATATATTGAGAGAGTAAAACAATCAAATAAATGTTTCAGGAATACCGAAAAATTACCCAAAACTGATTTGAAAGAGTTCAGGGGATTCATCTGGAGATTATTTTAATCATCCATCCACGAGGCAAGAAGGCTTTAGAATAGAGTGACATAGCAGTACAGTCTTCAGATTATGTTCTCCTACAAACAGAAGCCTTTCAGAATAAAAGCAGAACTCAGCATAGATACTGAGCTCTAATGCCAAGTATTGCTCTTTTCTTTCTTACAGAGAATTTATTGGTAGAAACTACCTTTAGTTATTTGTTTATTTTTCTGTTTTAATTTTATTAGCTTCACATTTGGCATTTACCTTCTAGCTAGCCATGTGATGAAATGTTTTTGGAGAATCATCCTTACTGTAGCCATATAAAATGGCTATATGGAGAAGTGTAGGCTAATGAATGTTTATTATAATAATTATGAAACCTATTTTAGACCTGGGGAAATGATCTACAATGGTGACAACATTCATTTTGCATTTGCTGTTTGCCTTTAGCAAGTTTTGAGTAAAAGGTATCATGCTATAAAAGCAAAAATTCTTCGGTCCTTTTTAACCATTATATTGACTATATTCTAATTATGAACTTCGGACTGAAGACACTTCTGAATACTATACATTTACAATAGACATGAATTTAAAGTTCACAATAGCAATTGGAAATTATAGATGCCTATGCATACTCTGGAGCCCTGGCGGCACAGTGGTTAAGAGCTTGGATACCATCCAAAAGGTCAGCAGTTTGAATCCACCAGCTGCTCCTTGGAAACCCTATGGGAAGGTTCTATTCTGTGCTGTAGGGTGACTATTAGTTGGAATTGACTTGAGGGCACCGGGTTTATGCATATTCTAGGAGTCCCTGCATGGCACACACAGTTAAGCTCTAGGCTACTAACTGAAAGGTTGGTGGTCTGAACACACCCAGAGGTACCTCAGAAGAAAGCCTTGGTAATCTGCTTCTGAGAGGTCACAGCCATGAAAATCCTATGGATGGCAGTTCTACTCTGCACACATGGGGTCGCCATGAGTCGATATCTACTCAATGGCACCTGGTTTTTGCATACTCTGGTGTTCCCAGGTAGGCAAACAGTTAACACATTTGGCTGTTAATGGAAAGACTGGAAGTTCAAGTACACCCAGAGGCATCTTGGAAGAAAGGCCTGGAGAACTACTTCTGAAAAATGAGCCGTTGAAAGCACTGTGGAGCATGGTTCTACTCTGACACACGTGGAGTTGCCATGAGTCGGGACGGATTGATGCAACTGATACTCTTGGACTTCAAGCATTTCTTATATGGGGAAACAATCACTGAGAATGTTGAGAGAACTTACAAAGTGATTTTTACTCTGTAAATTTTAGATATGCCAGATTTTAAAAGATGCATCATATTACATTTCATTTGATTGACAAGTAGTCCTAACAAGTAGTCCTTGGCTGGCTTCAGTTTAGTGTTCAAGCATAAGTCACAATTTAACAAAGAAAAGAAAAGCCTTTCCAAAGTAAAAGTTAACATGTCTTAATGTCTTCGGTGTAAAGCTACAATTCTACTTAAATAAACACTTTCCTCAAAACATTTCTGACTTGGATTAAGCTGAATTTGAGTAATGGGCAAAATAAAGACCTGTTAGCCCTATCTTCTGTTATGAGACTTTGGAGCCCATGGCTAAAACACAGAATTCTTGAATCCCTCCAGTAGATACTCAGGGAGCCCCAAATTCACATTATCTCCACAGGGCCACAACTGGGCCAGTTGTTCTAGATCCTATAAGAGAAGAGAACACTTTCTTGGTGGTAGAGAGACGTTTACAGATCACATTTTCAACGCACAAAGCATTTATTTTAAGATATACCAAGGGAGAAGGAGCATGATGAGATTCTCCTTTTTTGTCACCTGTGTGAATTTCTAAACCTAAGAACCTGGGTTGCTAAATAGGGAGGGATTAAAAAACAAAAACAAACAAAAAAAACAGTTGCCATCCAGTTGATTCTGACTCATGGCAATCCCATGTGTGTCAGTGTTTCATAGGGTTTTCAGTGGATGATTTTTTTGGAGGTAGATTAGCAGGCCTTTCTTTCAAGGCACCTCTGGTTGGACTCGAACCTCCAACTTATTGGTTAGCAACCAAGTTTGTAAGCCATTTACACCATCCAGGACCTCCATTGGTAGTAAGTGTTAAGTGTTGTAAATGTGTAAACTTTTTCTCAGCGTAAACCCCAAAACCCATTGCCATTGAGTCAATTCTGACTGACAGGAACCCTATAGGACAGAGTAGAACTGCCCCATAGAGTTTCCAAGGCTGTAATCATTATGGGAGCAGACTGCCACATCTTTCTCCAGAGAAGAGGCTGGTGGGTTCAAACCACAAAACTTTTGGTTAGCAGGCAAGCACTTTAACCTCTGTACCACAAGGGCTCCTCTTCTCAGTGTTAGGAACCTCTCAAAGTACCAAAGACCATGGGGGATGGGAGTGAAGGATGAATAATAAAAGAGTTTCTGAGCAAAAGTCAGGTGAGGTGTTAAACATTTAAAGGAATCAAAGCTAGATCTTTGCAAGGGCGTGAACATCACTGAAACTACTTTCAACAAAATCCGAGGCAGCTAGGGAAAACACTTGTATTCAATGTAGAAAAATATAAAAGGAAATTAAGGAGGAAATAACGGATGGGAGGAAAAATATTTAACAGCAGTCAAAGGAATGAAAACAAAATGACAGAGTGACCAAAACAAAATAGGAGAAATATAATTTTCCTTTCATTTCTGTTTTACATTCTAGTCTGACTTAAGTAATATGAGCATATACTCTTTTTTTCTTGTTGTTTGAAAAAACTCTCCAGCCTTTTCAGCTCAGTCAAGGAAAAAGAAAAGATGCCAAAGGATTTCAGTTCTGAGCCACATTTTCACTTTGTACCACAGATAACAAAAATAATTGTCAACAACTTTGGTATATTAAATATACCTTGCATCAAAGAGGTAAGATGTAGGAGTACTAGAAATTTCTGTACATATCTAATATTTACCAGTATCAAAACCCAATGATATAATTGCTTGCATGTTCTCTTCCTTCTAATGAAAATGTCAAATGTAGAGCATAATTCAGTTGTTTGTTATTTATATTCCTTCAGCTTCTTAAAAATTATTGGGGAAGGAGGTGAAATAGTCAGATAATAGGGCCTGAGGTGGAGGAGGTGGTCGTTCAGGAATAGTTTTGAGAGCTGCAATATTTGCACAAATTCCCATCGAACACATTTCCATTAAGTACTCCAGCATTGTAATAAAGGTATCATATAGAAATATAGTAATATTAGAAACCCTGATATTAGCAACACCTTGTATCTTTTAGAAGCTATGCCTATAGTTTTGGGGAGTTTTTGACACACATCCTATGGTGCAGTGAATTACTAATTACAGCCCTTCTAGCCATAGTCTATGCAACTCCCAC